TAGAGGCCGCCGTCGGAAAATTAGGCACACAAAGCCGAGCTGAGACTTCACCTTCTCGCCAAGCGGGCCGACGTCGTGATCGTCCACGTTGTTGAGGCTGCTGTCGGCGAAGACGACAGCGCGTAGGTTTCCATCTTGTCGTAGAGCGTCGTTCCGACAGCACAGGCGCACGTCGCGCGTCTCCTGGCCGAACCAGCTTATTCATCGCCAGTAGGTGTTGCACGGTCGCTTGGTTCTTCTGTTGCGCAAGCCAGCTGTAGCCGAAGGAAACGTCCATCCGAAGTTGCCTTGAAAGCCATCCGAGTGAGCCAATCACCAACTGCGAAATTCCGCTCCTCATCCGTAGCCAACGCCTTGATCTGCTTCGCTCTGGCGAAGGACATCACCAGAGTCTCCATCTGGTCAATGCAGTGCGTCATGTTGATATTGACCGTGTAGTCCTCGAGCTGCTTGACGTCCTTGTCGCATTACCGGAAGGGCGGCTTCTCCTCCGTGAATAGTAGTTATTTCTTGAGTTCGTCCATCGCATTCTGCTTGTACGGGTCACCGTCGGGGTCGCCGGTTGCGAATAGGTATTCCACGTAGGTGCCAACGAGCCCGACGAGCTTGCCATTCTCGAACAGGAGAAAGAACGCCCTCTCCAAGCGGCTCTCCTGCCATGAGTGATTGCGCAGCGTCCTCCGTAGCTTACTCCACCACTTCTTGCCAGCGCCCTTGGTGCCGTAGATAGCGCCATGACAGACGAACACCGCGTAAGCTTGAACTCCAGGCGGCAGGGGTGTAGGAGGTCGCAGCACGAGCATCTGATCAACATCATCTCCTTGAAGGTACGCACTCGTAGCGTCAAGCTTGAAGACGGGCCAGTGCTTCCTGGCCGCCGTGCTGCAGATCACGTGAAAAAATTACCAGCAGGGACGAAGTAGGGAAGTCCGTCCTCACATGGACCGACTCGTAGCAGCCGACCGCGACCAGTCGAGGCTTCGCCTTCAGGGGTTCTTATTCGTGTGGACCCATCTCGATGGCATCGCCTTGACCCTGCCCAGCAACTCCTGGGCCACGTCGCCCGTGACCACGGTCACCGCCCTGAAGTTGCGCCAGTTCTCCCACTCCTTGGCCGTGCTCGCGTCGAACTGGAGTCTCTCTGTCTTGGTGAGGTTGATCTCCCTCCCTCTGGTCTTGCCGGTCAGCCAGGTGTAGCTGATCCAGGCGTGGGAAGCATTGTCCAAGTCAGATTCCACCAGGTAGGCTCCAGGCATGGGTCCTCCTCTCTGCCGCCTCGGCGGCGTCCGCTCGGGCCCGTAGCCCAGGGAGTCAGGCGGACACCCGCCAGTCACGGAGGATCTCGGAGGGGGAGTGTTGGGTTCGGATTGGCCATTATCGCGACCGGTCTCACCAGCTCGATTAGCAGCATCAGCATCATCATCATCATCATCATCATCATCATCATCATCATCATCATCATCATCATCATCATCAGGCACAGGCACAGGCACAGGCACAGGCACAGGCAAAGGCACGTCTTCGCCAGGCACAGGGTCACGTTCCGGCACCGGCTCGAGCACGGGGGCTTTGGTGGGGTAGCGGCAGCATTCGGAGAGCACCAATGCCGACAGGAAATCAGGCAATCAGGAGGAGGAGGAGGAGGAGGAGGAGGAGGAGGAGGAGGGGGGAGGAGGAGACGGGGGGAGGAGGAGGAGGAGGAGGAGGAGGGAGGGAGGAGGAGGAGGAGGAGGAGGAGGAGGAGGAGAGGAGGAGGAGGAGGAGGAGGAGGAGGAGGAGGAGGAGGAGGGTGAGGAGGAGGGAGGGGAGGAGGAGGCGGAGGAGGAGGAGGAGGAGGAGGAGGAGGAGGAGGAGGAGGAGGAGGAGGAGGAGGAAGGGGAGGAGGAGGAGGGGAAGGAGGAGGAGGAGGAGGAGGAGGAGGAGGAGGAGGAGGAGGAGGAGGAGGGGGTCCTCGCCCTGCTGCGCCTCCGCCGTCTCCGCGCCACGATCCCGGCCGGGGGCGCCCGCAGGCTCCGAGGCCTCGGCCGGGGCTCCTCGGCTGCCTCGGGGCGCCCGGGGGGCGCGGCCGCCCGACGGGCGGGGAGCGGCTCCTCCGGCATCCAAGTCGGGCCTGTCCCTCGACAGGGGCAGTATTCCAAAAACAATCCACAAAATAGTATGGGGAGTATTTTTGGTTTAAAAAAATGATCAACAATAATCAATAATAGTCAAAAATAGTCCAAACATTATTTGAACATAATCAAAAATATTCAAAAAAACAGTCAAAAAATAGTCTGGGGACTATTTCTGGTCCAAAAATATTTAAAAATAATCAAGAATAGTCAAAAATAATGAAAAATAGTCCAAACATGTTTTCAAAATGGTCAAAAACATACAAAAATAATCAAAAATAGTCTGGGAACTATTTTTGGAGCATGCTTTGGCCCCTTGGGGGCATTTTTGGGGTATGTCTTATGTTTCGTCGAAAATCCCCCTGTGGGGGGACACGCCCGACTGAATGGTAGCGGTACTTCCTCAGGAAACTCAGCAGCTCCTTCCTCGAGGCTTTCGCGTCGAGCGTCCAGGAATCCTCGAGGTCCCCTGTGGTAGAGCAGCGCCTCGCTGATCTGCTGGCATCTGATCTAAGGTGATCAGCTCGTCCTCCGTCGCGAACCTCAGCTGCGCAGGTCTCGCCAGGACCGTGCCGCCACCATACTGTAGCCAAATCGCGCGCGGGCTGCCTTGGACGGCAGCTGGGCGAAGTGTAGCGTTGATCCCGTCGGCCATCTTGTTGGGATCGAGGTAGCCGTGGCCGATCACGGGGCGACGCCGAACCAGCGGTGGAACAGCGCTGGGGATTCGCCGGGCCTCACGTGCGTCCGCCTGAAGTAGACGTAAGCTCCGACGGGAAAGGGTCCCATAGCAGGTTCGCCCTCCTCACTCGTTTGTCGTGATCCATCTTCACGAAGGCGACCTTGGCAGCTTCACGCCACAGTAGGCTCGAGGCCACCGCGGACTAGGGCTGCCTCCTGCATGTTCAGCTTCTCCGCCTCACTGTCCTGCAGGACCGACCCGGGCATGCGCAGGCCGCGCGTCCCGAGTACCCAGTTGGACGGTGCGTAGCCGCCGTAGATCACCGTCTCGTTGCGATTCTGGCTGATGATCCCACAGAGGGTGCGGACGTCCTGCTCCTCCGTGATCACGACTACGACGTTGATTGATACTACTACTACTACTACTACTACTACTACTACTACTACTACTACTACTACTACTACTACTACTACTACTACTACTACTACGACTACTACTACTACTACTACTACTACTACTACTACTACTACTACTACTACTACTACTACTACTACTACTACTACTACTACTACTACTACTACTACTACTACTACTACTACTACTACTACTACTACTACTACTACTACTACTACTACTACTACTACTACTACGACTACGACTACTACTATCACTACTACGACAATGGCTACTGCTACTACTATAGCTACTACTCCTACTACGAATACGACTCCTACTACTACTACTACTACTACTACTACTACTACTACTACGACTGCTATCATTATTACGAGTATGATTATTATACTTGTTTCTACTACTGGTGGTACCACTACTACTCCTACTGCTACGACTACGACTGCTACTGCTATTATTACAACAACTAATATTGCTTCTGCTATTTCCATTACTACTACTATTACAACTACTGTTTCTGCTACTACTGCCACTACTCTCTACGACTACTACTACTGCCAGTACTCCTACGACTGACATTGTTACTATTACGACTATTACTACGACTACCACCACTACGACTATTACTACGACTTTCATACCGATACTATTAGTACTGCTACTACTGCTACTACTACTACTACTACTACTACTACTACTACTACTACTACTACTACTATTACTACTACTACTACTACTTCTACTGCTACTCTGACCACTTCTACGACTACAATTAATTTTTCTGATGCGACTACGATTAGTTCTAAGATTATCACTACCACTACTACTACTACTACTACTACTACTACTACTACCACTACTACTACTACTACTACTGCTACTACTACTACTACTACTACTACTACTACTACTACTACTACTATTACTATTACTATTACTACTACTACTACGATGATTGCTATTACTACTGCTGCTACTACTCCTACTACTACTACTACTACTACTACTACTACTACTACTACTACTACTACTACTACTACTACTGCGACTGGTACTGCGACTGCCGCGACTGCTACGAGTATTTCTATTACTAAAATTTAATATTACTATCACGACGACGACTACTACTACTACTACTACTACTACTACTATTACCACTAGTACTGATGCGACTACGACCACAACGATTATGATTGCTACTGCGACTACGACTGCTACTAGTACTTTCACGGTTAGCCCCTTAGTTTTACTCCTACTACAGCTACCACTACGACTACGATTATTATTATTACTCCTGCTACAACTACTGCTACTACGACTACTACTACTTGTACTACTACCACTACTCGATCGACTGCGATTGCGAATGCTACTACCATTAGTACTACCATGTCGGCTACAGCAACGACTATTATCATCAGCACTACGAGTACCACCACTACTACTACCATTACTACCACTACTACCACTACGAGTACTACCACTGCCACTGCTAGTGCTACGACGACTACGACTGCCAGCACAATTATCCTTACTACTGCGATTCCTACCACTACCAAAACTAACGGCTACGACTACTAGTAGTATTACTATTGCCACTACTACTACTACTACTACTACTACTACTACTACTACTACTACTACTACTACTACTACTACTACTACTATTGCAACTACTACTACTACTACTACTACTACTACGACTACTACTACTACTACTACTACTACTACGATTGCCACTACGATTACTACTACTACTACTACTACTACTACTACTACTACTGCCATTAAAA